GTGGCGCGCTTGTTGGACTACCCTGTATAATTAAAAGTTTATTGTCTTGACTTGCTTGGCCTCATCAAGCTTCTTGGTAGTAGGGGAGCCATAAAGTGGTTATTGGAACTCTTTTTAATCCGTTTGCATCAATTTGGTGGATACTATTTTTAACTGCAGGGTTGTCCAGTCTGGACTGCCCTGTGGTATGTTGTCCCTGTGGCTTCCTGGTTCTTTCCACAGTGGTAGGGGGCCAAGTGTCTCTTCGGTCTTAGTTATGTTGCATCTCTTCGTGGATCACCCGATGAGGTTGTCGGTATGGCATGGTGTCTCTGGTGTATGTCCCGATGTTCCTGGAAATGTCGAGTCTTCTGATCGTCTCTGTGTAAAATTTCCTTATCCTGTTGAGGAGGTCATCTTTGAGGGGTCCGATGTTGTCCCACCTGTATACCCTGTCATTGGGGTACGTACTGGTCCCATGTTATGCCCAGTGCCGTCCTGAGCATTTTTGTCTCGGTACTCCACAGCGGAGCTTTCGCCGATCGGGTTGCCCAGTTCCATACCGGGTACGCATAACTTATTAATTATTGGTTTAACGTATACCTGGTATAGCTTGATTTTTGTTTCAGCAATCTGTCTGGATGCTGTAGAGATGAAGGGGTAGATGACAATACCTGCCAATCTTGTCCCGGAGTTTTCTATGCAGTTTAACTCCCAAGTAGGTTAGGTCGTTGTTCGGGTTGAACTGGTTGTTGTTTATTGTGCTGTAGTTCTTGTCTGGTCGTCTCTTAGGTTGGTCTTTGCATGATTTAGTTTTCCAGTTTCCACTCAGTACAGTAAGCGTTTATTGCAGACTCGGGTTTGGTTCGAGTTGGTGTACCTACACAGCTATGTCGTCAGCATACAGGGCAAGGTTGGTGTTCCGTCTCTCCGGTATGTCATTTATGTAGATATTGAAGAGGGTGGGGGATATGACACTGCCTTGGGGTAGGCCCTCTGTGATTAATTTTGTGTCAGATTTCGCGTTTCTGATGTTTACGCTGAATCTTCTGCGCCTAATGTAGCTCTCCATGATTCGAACTATCAATGGATCGAATCCTACATTAATCATTTTTGAGATGAGTGCCTTTCTCCAGACAGTGTCATATGCCTTCTCCATGTCTAATGTGGCTAGGGTTGTGGTGTGTTTTTTGTTGTTGGCATCCATGGCGTGGTCTATTAGTCTTGCGAGTTGTAATTCAGTCGTCCTGTTTCGTCTAAATCAGAACTGCTCGTCGATGATTAGTTGGTTGTCTTCCAGGTGCTTGGATATCCGTTTATTCAGGATCCGCTCCAGTACTTTTCCGAGGAAGTTCAGTAGCGAAATGGGTCTGCAGTTTTCTAGTTTGATTTGGTCCTTGCCTCGCTTGGTGAGTATGATAGTTTTGGCTACCTTCCAATAATTGAGAAAGTACTGGAGTTTTAGGCACGCATTGTAGATGTATGTAAACTGTACAAAGGCTTTCCTTGGTAGGAATTTGCAATCTTTTGCCACAATGCCGTTGTTCCCTGCGGCCTTATAGGGTTTTGATCTAGAGATAAGTCTGACGATCTCTCTAGGGCTGGTCAGTATGTCATTTGCATTGTCCCGGGTTTTGTCCACAGAATTCCAGAAGGTGTGGAAGACTTGCTTTCTGGTGACGTCATCTGATAGTTGCTCTGTGCGTTTACTTTTTTTTTGATTAATTGACTTACAAACGCCTCGGTTTTTCCTTGTGTTCATTTGTCCTGTTGCGTCGGATACCCGTTATGGGGGAATGTTTTGTGGGCTATTTCTGTTCCTGTGGCCTGTCATATGTTTCCATATATTGCCTTCGTAATGGGGCGCTAATATTTTCTTATTCCACTCCTTGTTTAGGTGTGACGTCATTAGTGACTTAACCAGAGTGTATTGTTCCAAGTATTTGATTCGGTCGAAGCGGTCTCTGGTTCTTTGGGCTCTTGCCCTTAGCTTGTTCCGTTTAGTTCATGTATTTTCCTTTGTATGTGTTGGGGGAACTTTTGTTTGTTATTAATGGTTATCTTTGGTATGTGTTGTTCCTTGGCCATTGTGATTATATTGTCACAACCCCCATACGTTTCGTCCTGAGACGTCATAACAGGAGTGTGACCTGCGGGCGTAGGTGGGGTTCAGGTAGAGAGGAACTCGCTTGGTACTTGTACAATAAAATATGTATTGAATAATTACCCTAGAAATAGTATCATGACGTCTCTTCTACGGAGGGACGTACTACTTATAGGCCACTCTATATTATGTACACTCTGTACACTTGGGTGACTGAAGACTGAAGCTGGGTTTGGGCCAGGTCCCTTATTTCGTCTATCTGTCCCGTCAGTCCGTTTATGTTGATAAGTACTATGTTTAGTGTCTTATGTTTCATAGCTTACAAGGTTTGCTGGTTCTTTGTTTGGTACAATTTGTTGTTCAAAGTCCTAACTTGATTTATTAGCTCCATGATCTGGAACTTGGCGTTTAGCTTATCGATCTCTTTCATTGAGGTTTCCAAAATCCAAAATCGTCTGATTTGTCGGTCTGGTTGGGTAGTGGTGGAAATTCCTGTCTCGTGCAAGTCACAGGTTTGTCCTGGTTAATTGCCTGGTTGTTGGTGGCTTGGCTGTAGGATACGCATTGCTTGGTTCTGTTTGCTTGGAACCGCTTTGGTTGTGTACCGGCCATATGTTCCTGGAGCTTGGAGCAACCTCTGAAGTTTGCCGCGTGTTCGCCATCGCAATTGGCATATTGCATTTTGATCTGGTCTTCGTTCACTTCACGCTTCCTAAGGCAGTCTAAAGCCGAGTGAGAGCTAGCACTTTTCAGGCATTTCATCGATTGTTTACAGTTATTAGCGCCGTGACCGAAGCCTTGGCACCTATAACATTGGTTTATGCTATTTCGTTTATGAAAAGTTCCCCATTTTATGCAGGTATGTTCGATGTGTTTGGTCTTTTTAAGCAAGCCTATGTTGTTTTCTTTTGCTGTGGTTATCAGGTAAGAATGGCCTTCTCCACGGTTAGTTTACATCAGTACATAATCTTTAATTTGATAACTTTGGCTAAGGATTTGCTTTACCTTCTCGGTATCCATGTTAAGAGGATCCTTAAATACTAACCTCTTTCATCTCTCAGTCCTAGATGAGTATGTATAGTATTGAACATTATCAGTGTCTAAATTTTATCGTACCAGTAGGTACGTGGTCTTCTAGGGTTTCTCTTTTGGTGAGTATTTTAGAAAGAGAGATTCTTCTTCTAAAAGTTCGGCAATGGTGGCTTTAAATTGGTTAAAATTTACCTTAGAGATGACCATAATTGGTGGTGGTTTGGGTGCCCCGGGTCTTGGGGGTGTTGCTGTGGGTTCTTCTACTTCATTTTGGTCTACCGTCAGTAGTCCGAAACGCTAACTGGTAGGAACATTGGCTCGTTCCATTTCATACTCTTCATCCGAGTGTGGGATGTGATTTTCCCTAATTTGGTGTAACCAGGCACTTCTTCTTCTTCATCCTTGTTCTCAAGGATCCTTTTCACTGGTCGTCTGATGACACTTTGGCTCCTCGAGCCCATTAGGGCAAGCCCTAGGGTCGGATAACTCGGCACTTATTCACGACGTGCACTAATTCACTTTGAGACTAAGACTTCGCACTTGGTTTCTCGTAAGCATCGGGTATTGGCACTAGTCAACAATACTGTCAGACAGACTAAGTATCGCTTTGAGATCTCTCTTAGAGCAAAACAAATTTACTCTGCGAGAGCTCAACTTGGTCTTGAGAGTGGAACAAAAATTCAGGACCAGACTACCAAATGGGCGTTTCTATGAGCTCGGCCGCGGTCTGGCCCCGACTAACACAGTCAGCTGGATTTTGAGCTGATGGAACGCATTTCCAAGATGACTTGGGAATAAGTTCTTGCACATGGCTTACTCGATTCGCAAAAAACGTTTTCCATTTGTGCGGGGAGGCCCATAGCCAGGCTAAAACAACCATGGAGTCGCTCCATGCGTGAATGACGTCAAATAAAATTAAGTTCGCGTAACTTTCCCTTACAAACGAAATTAAATTGGCCAGTAGGCAGGCCGCCAACAACTCTACACGAGCAATAGATTGTGTTTTTAATAATGGAATACAACATTTAGCACAAACTAAAAAGGATTTGACTGAACTAGAAGTATCCTGATGGACTCGAAATATACAACGCTGGCGTAGCCGACCTGGGAGGCATCGCAGAAGCCGTGCAATTCAATGCGTGCCTTGGAGGCAGCACCGATATATCGAGGTATTTTGATACGTGCTAAATCGGGCAGTTCGGATTTGAACTTAGTCCATGTCGTCCCATGAAACTTGAGATTCCCATAGAAGCTGTAACTGTAACAGACGTTTCGCTAATAAGAGAAATGGGAATACGAGTCCCAAGGGATCGACTGATTTCGGATAAGATGTGACGCCTCTGACCATTTTAAACCAAAAACCTTAATAAAGGAAGGTTCATCCTTGTGAAAGGTACATGATTATTGCATTTCTGAAAATGGTATTTTAGTAAGGAAGTCTGAATGATTGCTTGCCCACTTTCCCAGTTCCAAGCCACCCCTTTTAAAGAGTTCGATTGCAATGATATAGCCGACTCTAAATCGTGTGTGCCGATCAACTCGTCATGAATGTAGAACCGAGTGGAAACTGCTTCAGCGGAAAGTTGAATTTCTCTTACTGTGCAAGTTCTCGAAGAGTTCGGAGAGCTAAAAATGGTGAGCAAGAAACTCCATATGTGACCGTTTTCAAGAAATACTCAGTGGCAAATGGCTCAGAAGAAGTAAAACGACATAAAATGTGCTGATAATTCCAAAATTGTGGCTGCACGTTAATCTGTCGGTACGTCTGTTTAATATCGTAGATAAATACATATGCGTAAAAACGAAATGACAGTAATAGCTGGGAAATATCGAGTTAAAGCTTGGGACGTACAAGGAGAGTGTCATTATTATATAAAACACATCATTAAATTGGACATAATATCTTGCCCCCGTATATTGAATCGTCTGATCTATCAGATAATCGGTTGCGCTATCTTTGAGTACTCCGGTACGTAACATAGCCATTATGATTTCTAAAATATATTTATTCATGAGAAAATTAATCTACAATTGCTCTGGCTTGAATGACCCTCTTATACCAATGAGCTGAGCTCTTGTATGTCCTTGTTCTCGATGGACTATCAAAGTCAACTTGAATTATTCCAAAACGTTGGCTAAAAATTATATTTATTATTCAAATTAGTTATTTTATATGCAAAAGCTCTTACGTAAATCCTTCAGCCCATTCAAAGTTATCTAGAAGACTCCATAAGGTGTAACCAGTAACATTGATGCCATCTTCAAGGATTGCGTCCAAAATATTACTCAGATATTCCTGAAAAGTTCAAACATTAAGTTGCCAAATGTAAATCTATAGGCAAAACCTTGCAGTATGTGATTCTTTTTTGATCATCCAATTCTCCAGTGTCAGACCAACCGTTTTCAGTAATAATGATTTCGCTGGGATTGTATTTTTCCTGAATGTTGTTAAGAACGTATCTTAATCCTGGTGGGTCCGAATTGAGCCAGGGTGAGGCGCTTTTGGGCCATGAGGGGTCTATTGAAGTTATAGTGCCTGAAAAAATGTGTTACTATAGTACTATTCCTAGTTTGAAAGATTCCCAACCTATATCTAACCAAATTGTTGGACTGGAAATTGCCCATTCATCAGCATACTCCACAATGCTGCTTGAGTACCTTAAAAAAATTTGTATGTATACAAATCATTACATTAAATACGTTAATATTCTCTTACATATTTAAAGCAAAATAGTCATAGGTTCCAGAAATATATTCAATTTCCTCTTGGGAGAATTCTGGCAATCTGGAGAAGGAATATCCTTCCAATTTACTTCTGTTAGCTACTCTATCGATAACTACTTGGGGCCAATTGCTTTTGAAGATGGCATTAGCATACAGTCCAACCTGTAAGGCAAAATATTTAAATTTTCTGTTGTTGATGGAAAGATCGATATCTTACATTAAATTCAAAAGTTCTTTCAACAGCTTCTGCATCCAAGCTGCTGGTAGTCTTTGGATAGTACATGGCACTGGGTATATTAATGGTTACTTTTCCTCCGTATTGTTGTTTAAATTCAGCTTCGTAGATTCTGTAAGCCTTGGCGTGAGCCTTTGCACTGTTTTGGGCGCAATGGTAGACTCCGTCGCCGATGAGATCTTTGCCTGGTGCAAAGACAGCCTATTATAGAAATTTAAATTATCTGAGGTCATAAGAGTGCTGAAAAATAACAAGTCGAAATTATTTACCTGGCCATAACCAGTGACACAAGTAGTACCCGGTTCATTAATAGTTATCCAATATTTAACATAAGGTCCCAATGCTTTGTATACAACCCTAGCGTAATCTCCAAAATAGTCAGCAATTCTGGGGTTCAACCAACCACCAAGGTCTTCAAGATGTTGTGGCAAGTCCCAATGGTACAAAGTAACTACTGGTTCAATACCGTTGTCGATTAATTCCTAATAATAGCATTGTAAATAAAAAAATATTTCCACGATGGTTTAAATTTTTACATGAACCAAATTAACATAATAATCAATTCCAGCTTGATTAATGTTGTATGGAGTACCATCAGGCATAATTCTAGACCATGAAATGGAGAATCTGTACAACTTCACCCCCAAGTCCTTCAGGATTGCGACATCTTCTTTGTATTTGTGGTAAGAGTCACAGGCTATGTCACCCGTGGAATTATTTTTAATCCTGCCTGGTACATGTACAAAAGTATCCCAAATATTTGGTCCTTTTCCATCTTCATTCCAGGCTCCTTCAATTTGATAGGAAGCACCGGCTGCTCCAAATTTGAAACTGTCTGGAAATACTTTTTCGGCTGAGGCTCTAAAAAATTTTTTATTGTAAATATGAGTTGCAATTATGTAAGAATTTGAATATTCAATCTTACCCATAAAAAGCCACAGCTATTATGACCAAACCAAACCTAGTCATTGTCCGATAATATTTAAAAATCAAACGTAATTTTTTGCAACTTGCGTAGGTATATATATTGTTCTATTTTTAATCAGTCAATCTTCAATTTAATTTAAGTGCTTATCGAAAGTTTTCAATTGAAAACAAATGTTTTTTATTGTTAGTGGACCTTGATATTCTTTAAGAGGGATTTATATTCAATATCGAGTATAATATCCTTGACTGCAAAACATTGCCAATAAATTTTTTACATCTGAAAATATTGGTAATGAAACTTTTTAAATGTCCAAACAAGTAAGTACCCAACTGAGGAATGCTAGCCAATACAGATAACATAGGAACTGCGATCTAGCAGTCGCGAAAATAGCATGCAATAATAATGCAGGTACCTACCTATCTATTTTGGTTTGGATTTTGAATGTCCCACAGGATTGGTTCGACGACTGAGCGCTGCGGCTCATCCTAATATGTTTTCTTAGGCCTCTCTAGCAAGAGAGCTCTGATTTTTAGGTAGCTTTGAATTATTTCAAGTATGGTGCATTGTTTCTTCTTTGGACTCGAAAGCCTGTTTACGTGCATAGTGACGAGCGATCCAATTTTCCTATGTTTGTGATTTTTTCAGAAATTGCTTCCTTTATGAGTTTAAAAGCTTGCTGTTCTGCTGCGTTTACATTCGACTGTTTTTGCTAAAGCCGAACTACCTAGTTAAGAGCGTCTCATCTAGTTTTAAGTTTTCCATCGGTCTATTTCAGTTAATATGTTTCATAAGTTTGGCTTCTGTATTTAATAGGCATATCGGTCAGCGAGTCTTGTTTTTTTCCATATCGTCGAAAAATCTTCTTTCTAAATTGCATCGTTCAGGAAGGTTTCCAGAGTATTTAGGCTGTTTTGTACTAGAGCTATTAGGATTTCTGCTGGCACACCGTTAAGCTCTGGAGCTTTGTTCATTTCAAGCTTTTGAGCGTTCCTAATCGCTTATAGAGTTCCTTGTCTTGTTATTTCTTGTGAGTATGAGCATCCTTCTAGCTGCCTCATAGGTTTTCTTGGCTCTGCTATTTTCGGACCACCAGTAGGCTATGACCTACTGTTTTTTTTTTCTGTTGGAAATGCCTACTGTTGTTATCAGAGCATGGTCCACTTGTACCATTCTTTTGTTGTTAGTTCTCGTTTTTAATGGAGAAATTTAATTTAAAAAAAAAAAAAATATTTGCTGTTAGCTCTAGCTTTTTCAGTTCACAACTCTGAGCTATTGCTTTCGTACCTCTGTTCATGATAAATAAGTGACGACCAGTCCTATATTTCCCCAGTACTGTGCTTCTCAGGTTTGTTCCAGAATTCCCCATTCTGTGGTACTAGCATTGAAAGTCATCTGATATAACAATGTCTTTTTATCTATACCGCTATGCTATCATTTTCTTCTAGCATAGGTACCTTCATATTGTTATCAAATTGCCTATTGTGAGCGGTTTCAAATAAAAGTGTTGTTGTTAAGTTTTTAATTCAATATTTGTCGTTACGTTTTGATGAGTGATATGTGAATTTTATATATTCGACATTATTGGTTCATGATCAGTTGTCAAGAGACTAGGATATATGATTCTAATTTCAAGAAATTTGACATTATTCTACTTTTAACAAAAATGTGATCTAAGCAAGAACTGCTTTTAAATCTAGTTGAGCTGAGTTTATATAGGATACAAATCGCAATTGAGACATCATGGCCAGATAGTTACGAGATTCATTGTTCAAATTTAGTGAATTTATATTAATGACACCTACAAAAAACGGTAATTGATAATTCTGAAAAAAAAAATAAGGCATATAACTCAACCAAATCCTGACATAAGTAATCAATAAAACAATTAAGCAAGTTTCAAATCAAATTAGTGTATATTTTCACAGTCAGTCAACAATCAACAATCAAATTTTAAAAAATAAAATCAATTGCTGGTAGAACACTTCAACTTAACCCGGGAGTACACGCGTGTCGGTCAAAAGGTCCGACCATTGACAAAATTAGAATTTACGCCACTGGTATAGGGGTGGCAGTTTTGTCCATCCAAGAATGCCTGATGCAGGTTTTCCACTACCCATTGGCCCAAAAATATTTTGGTTTTTGGTTGAAGTATAGTTCTTTGTTTCCAGAGTCGGTGCTTTTGACTAGTAACGTGAACCTGAGTATCTAAAATATTTGTGTTCAAAATTGGCATTTTCTAATATTGGGAGTACTTTTGAATGTCAATAATACGGTAACTGTACTGCATGATATAATTCCCTTTGAAATGATTATGAATTCTAGGAATTATAGTGCTTGTACACTTTTCTCGCGGAAACGATTCCAAACGTATCCTGAAAGCTAAGGCATGACTTACGTAGGTGATATTAGAAAGTTTCATGTCTCTACTGATTAGTAAACCTACGTAGGTCATGCCTTAGCGTTCAGGATACGTTTGGGATAGTATCCGCGAAAAAAGCTAATGATTCATATAAACTTTCGGGCAGTCGGTCGATTTGACCGAACGCGTGTAATGAAGTAAGTTTTTTGACGCGTGTAATGCCGGGTTAAATAAATAACTAGAGGTTAACTCTCTATCTGTTTCAGCAAATTCAAAACAAAAAAAGATAACTTCTGTTTTCGAAATATTGACAGTTTGAAAATCAACTTTTTGCAACTTTGACAGGCTGTAAAACCTGAGCGGTTAATTTTAGAAAACCGATTTTACATGCCTATCTTAGATTTTCATAAACTATCATTTGACACCAACTTTGAATTTAACCGGAGATAAAATTTAATTGGAATTTTTAATCATAGATTAAATTCAAAGTTCGTGTCACATGATAGTTTATAAAAATCCAAGATAGGAATGTAAAATCGGTATTCCTCTAAAATTAACCGTTCAGGTTTTACAACCTGTCAAAGTTGAAAAAAGTCAATTTTCAACTGTCAATATTTCCAAAACAGTTGAACTTAGGTATAGGGTATATCACATGAAATCTACTCAGAATTTTACGTTGAATCCAAATATGCAATCAGATACAGGGCGTTCGATTTAAAATGGCGATGTTGCCACTGGTCTAGAGTAGAAGAGGCAACACCGCATAAACAAAAATATTTTTTAAGTGTAGATTATGGTCATTTATCTCGGTTATCAAATTTTCAAAATGATCCGCTTTTTATATTTCCATTAACGTCTGATACGCCATCTACCGTGGGACACCCTGTATAAGTTATAGGACCCAGGGTTGAAAACTTTGACGATATAGGTTCTTACTTAATAATTTTAAATTTAGAGCATGTTGTCCAACCCTGCCTTCTGTTCAGATTACTGATTGATTATTATTGATAAAATATAAGTACAATATTTAAATATGGCGTTACTCAAAGTTAAGCAAAGATAAACCCATAATAAATTCGATAAATCAAAAATCAGAAATAATTATCCAAAGTTCACTCCGGTGTCAAGAAAGTGAAAAGGAAATTTTAAATATCCAGGTAATGTCAGTGAAGATTTAATCAAGCCTGTGGCAAGCAGGTGAGAAAGTGAAATTTGTTACGGGCTTACGTCATATTTCTTTATTTCTATTCAGGGTCGAGTTCAGAAGTAATCGTTCCTTCTTTCTTTGTAATGTGTAATTCGACAAAGAGCAAACTGATACTTTACGTATTACGTACCCTGCGTTTTTATTCTCATTAAATTTCACCGATGGATCCACCATTCTATGTCGGTCATTGTCTTTCTCCATTCAGAATCACTAAACAAAGATAGCTGATACTTCAACTCACCGCAGTGTCAAGGTTATGTAAGATTATACATGGCATATTCCTTTGCAATTTCATTAGGGACATAAAGCTTCCGTATTTTTTGGTCGGTATCCGTATCGGTATCGTACTGCGCATGTGCAGAAGCGATACGGACGCCGAGATACCGTACGTACAACGTAACGTTACGGCCCTCTCGCGGTATCCGTATCGGTAACGTATCTTTACATTCCTGACGCATGTGTCAAATTTTAAATGAATATAACCTCACTTTTCTTCCGGGTTGATTTAATTCATTTAGTTTATACTTTCTTGAGTTTCTTGTGTGTTTAGTGCTTCTCTATCGCAAAAAAAAATAACAATTTTATATAAAAACGCCGGAGTTTTGACACGAAAATTACTAGGTTATGAGATGCATTTACGTTTACCGGAACAGGGAGCGCTTTAACAGCCTTTTCGCTTGTCAACGTATCTAGTTGCGTTACGGATACCGATACCGATACCGGCGAATTATTTCAAGTAGCTTTATTTCCCTATATTGTGCAATGAATGTTGCCGGATGAAACATTTATCAAAATAAAAGTGCAAACGATGTTATCATACACTTTAAAGCTCTTCTTTTGTCTGATTTAAGGCGTTGTAAAACACTTGACACTATTTCACTTCTATAATGTTATAATCTTCGATTTGTATTGTCTATATTGTCTACATTTGTTCTGCAACAATACAATCTAGCTATACTGCGGCTACGAGTTGCGCGCGGATGTCATCATTTAACATCTTTTATTACTTGCTAACTTGTAATTATTAAAATTAACCTCTCTTTTTATATTTCTGAGAGACACTTCAATTCCAACAAAAAGGTAGGTAGTCGGTAGCCATCCATTTTTTTGACGAGGGAAGCACATGGAAGTTGCAGATTCTAGCCTGAAATTAAGGCTACAAGTTTAATTTTCTTCGTCAAATGTGGAGGTACAGATCGTTTCACCAGGGTTCATACTTTTGATATCGAACACGTCATAGCTTGAAAAAAAAAAGGGTTGTCGTAGATTAATTCATATGACACATTCAATTTCTTTGACAAATTTTTATGAATGACTTGTGTTTTGAGAATCGAAGAACGTTTTTGACGTCATTGATTTGTTTCAGTCAATTTATATTTGTTAAAAAAGGAAGGCAAGAAGTATGAACTCTTGTGAAACAAAGTTTATACATATCGACACGTGAGGGACTTGATTCATCCAGGAAATTACTTCAAGAGCTTTATGCCCAGAAATGTGGGCTTGTTGAAAATGGATCCTTTGAGTAAAACGGCTCCTCGGAAAAACAGATTCTCGGAAAAAACGGCTCCCCGGTGAAAAAAAGCAGCTCCCCGGTAAAAACGGCTCACCGCTAAAAAACAGCGCCCCGGTAAAACCCTAAGTAATAGAGCCATTCCATGAACGACCATTACTTTTAAAAAAATCAAAAATGACTTACCACGAGGAGGTTCGAAATTCAAACTCAAATAAAACGGCAATCACGAGACTTTTTATTTAAATTTTTTCGGTAATCAATGGATTATTGCCTTACGCAACTTTATTTCGTTAAAATAATGCCTGCATGGCCGATAAGGTACTTTTTTCCACGAGAACGGTATTTACACTTGAGGAAGATGGCTGCCTCCAGCTAGGATCGAACTTTCGGCTCGAACGGCCAAATTTAAAAGGGACCCAGAAAATGACAAGTAAAGCCTCTCCTCAAAAAAATAGCCAATGGAAAGCGTTGGTACTAAACTGGTACTTCAAATTTAAACGAAAATCGCGCCCTCTAAGTTAATAATTGCTACTATTATTTCCGACAGAAATCTTCTTTTAAGTTGTTTTAATAATGGCAGTCACCAGACTGTCAACATCCAAGGCGGTAATTTAATTTATAAAATAATACATGGAAATAAAAAAGATAGTCCCATTTGGCATGTTACCTTTTCATAGTTGTGAATTCTGCATTTATATTTCTTTTCACAAGTATTACCAGTCCATCATTTTTCTTATAAACTGTATAATTATAGAAAATTTGATAGTTATACTATATATTACAGTAATCATCTGCAGAAAGTTTTAAAGTTTCACTAAGTACCTATTATATCATTAAAATCCAATTTGAAACTTTCTAAGAGTACCTAATAACAAACCGTCAATATTCTCTGAAACACTTCTAATAATCAGATGAAACAAGTTGAGAAGTATATTTTTGGGCCTTACCATGTGCTGCAGTTGGTCACAATCTGGATTAGCAGCTGCGTGGATCACGTTGTGCTTTAATTTGTATTCTAAGTTGGCATTTACACAAGTTTTGCAGAGTTTCGCCTGTTTAGGGAGGTTGTCCTTTCCAACATTGTTGGAACACTCACCACTTCTGTGACGATACCCGTAGCATTTGAAGCATCTAGTGGCACGTGGCACTTTGATTCTCATAACCAAAATAGCTCTGCCGTCCCACGAATAGTTTTTCAGTATCCATCAATTTCCAATAAAATGAATTTTCTCTTTGAGATTAACTTGATAGAAGCAGTCAATTGAAAATGGAGAGGAGCATCGAGAGAAACAGACTGAAAGAAGTGATGAAAAAAAAAAAAACTTTGTCTAAGAGTAACTTGTATATTAAGGCAACGTTTATTGAACGTTTATAAAACCCTAAGAAACTCTCAAAGTTTCAAGAGAACACAGCTTCTGCCATTTTTGCATCAATAATAATTATTCGATTCATTCGTTCACTTACTTCATTCTGTTGAGGTATGCATAGATGTTTGTTCGCGGATGCAAAATAGTTTTTATAAAAAACACTAAAGATACTGCGAATTCGGCTTGTTTACCTAAGTCAAAGTTACTTTGGGCTAAAGTGTCTTCGCATTCAAGTCCATCAAGTACTCTTTTTTTTTTTATTTCAGTCTTTGTAATTTGAATGACTAAATTTTCTTTGTCAATATTTTCCATAAAATGGAGAGCCTGCTACTCAGTTTATTTGTGGCTTTATTACGTTCATTTCAAGAACAATACATTATTAATGGAAGAGTGGTACTGGTAATTCGCAGGACAAAATCGGTATAATAATTTCTGTCGCAAAGGGATGAGCTATTTTGGTTTAATGTTTCTGATATGACGCGAAGTGAATATTATCAATTGCAAATACCTACTGATTTTGCTTCCAAAAACAGAGTATAATTTTGAAAGCAACCGGAATACGATAAAAGCTACGCAGTATTGACACGATAAATAAAACTTCCTCTCATTTTATACATTTATTCATTATCAAAAAAAATAAATAAAAAATCATTCTACACATTCGTCTACAAGACAGTATGTGCGAACTGTATGTTGGTACCATTTGGCAGATTCCTTAAAAGTCCTCGTGCGATTTCGACTGTTGAAATCAACGCTGATGATGCCGTATTTTTGTCTGTAATAAATAAACACATGTAAGCAGTTGAAATTAGATGGGTGAACTAACTTACGTGTATCCCCGAGCCCATTCAAAGTTGTCCATGAGACTCCAAGTAGTGTAACCTGCTACGTTGACTCCGTCATCTAATATAGCGTCCAACATGTTACTCAAGTATCCCTGAAAAGTTTATAATTTTTGTGGATATGATTCACGTTCAATTAAATAAGTCTGAGGTTTATGTAGCTACCTGTAAATAGTCAATTCTGGATTGGTCGTTAATTTCACCATCAGTAGCCCAACCATTTTCGGTGACGTAAATTTCTCCTGGCTTGTAATGGTTCCAGACATAGTTCAAAAGACCTCTCATTCCTGAGATTGCCCAAAGATATTTAAATTTCCAATTTATTTTAGTTTAAATAGATACTTACCATAAGGATAAGACGCCAACCATGAAGCAACTGAAGGAGTCCAATCTGATCCAAATGCTACAGCTGTGCCTTTATCGTTATAGTAGTTAGGTTCGCCAATTTCTGCCTCACCAACAGCTGATACGCGTAGAGCTGTGTACCTAAATAGGGGAATTTTTACCAACTCTTTACGGGAATAGATAGGAATGATTTCTTACATATTGAGTCCAAAGTAATCATGAGTTCCTTTAACAAATTCAATTTCTTCTGCAGACCAGGCAGGCAATCTTGACTCAGAAAAACCTTCCTGAGTGCTTCTGTTGCCAATTCTGTCAATCATAATTTGGGGCCAGTCACCGACGTAGACTGGGTTTGCATACCAACCAAGCTAAAAACAAAACAAAAAAAAAACATCAGCTACAAAATGTTTAGAAAGGATCCGGAAATTTACATTGAATTGTGTTTCCCTTTCAGCTGCTTCAGCATCAGCTTCACTGTCAGTGTCTGGTTCATTGAAAGTAGCATCTATAACTAGACTGATTTGACCTCCTTGTTCAGCAGCAAATTCATTGTGATAGATATGGTAAGCTGTGGCATGGGCTAGAAGTTGAACTCTGGCGCATTGGTAGATAGCGGTGCCGATTTGTTTTATGCCTGGAGCATTTTCCTGATGAAAACAACAGAAAATATGAAAATAGGGTTATCAAAAAAGATACAGTTGCTGATAATTATAGAGAGTAACTTGAAATAACAAAAATTACTTCATCCAATCCAAAAATAACAGTCTGCTTTGTTACGATAAATGTATCATTTACGTAACATGTTCCATTTCTTCTAATTTTCATTATAAAGTTGTATTTTTCTCATTTTAGAATCAGCAAAATAATAATTCATAACTTAAGTAATTTAGTAGTATCTACAAAATTTAAGAGGGGCGTTTAAATAAAATGTCATTTATAGACCTTCACAAATTTCTATTCAATTCCAAATTTAGACCACTTTTCAGTGAAATGAAGTTATGTTCATAACAATAATAGATTGAAGTATGGTTCGATGATTTTTGAGTAGTAAAATTATTACCAATTTTGTTGAAAACAATATGCAAATTTTGGTCATGAATTAAAATGAAAAAGGGACGAATACCTAGAGTAGCACACCAACAATAAATTTCTAAAATTTGGGATAGTAAAATGCTGGAGAAAATGAATACGACAGCATCTGAATAAAATTAGTTAGTCCACTGTAAATTACTGTGTGAACGAATAGATATTGAAGATGTCGCCATCTACTCGTAAATAAGTCAATCACTTACAGAGAATTTCAACACCTGTGAGTGAAAAATATTTAATGTATGTCATAAAGCCCAAAAGATAGCGCGCTGGCTCTTATCTGACGCCCCTCTTAATTAATTCAATATAATATCAGTACTGCCATCTATCCATAATAAGCATAAAAGGGCAAATATCTGTTATTAAAAGGAGGTACCGCCATCTAGTACCTGATAAATTTATTTTTTAAAATATGATTTTTATTATTTCTCATTGACAGTCATTCGTATTTTCATTTAAAGAAATTATATTTATCTCACTTTTAGTGAATAGATATATTTCTGTCTTTCTCTAACTTTTGATTCTGAAATAATTATTTTTGGCTTAATGACCTAATTAATTTTCTAGTGGTTTTGTGTTTTCAACATAACCTTAATTTAAAATATTGTAATTTGTAAACAATTAAAATAATTCTAGAGTGTTTTTATTTATTTCCTTTTAATCAACGTGATTTTTCATTCATGAAGTGAGCGTGGTCTTTTGTGTGTGTTGAGTGTTGTCTTCTGATTGGTCAATGGTTACTACACAGTTAAGTATGAAAAAATACAAGATTGGTTTCCTGCAAGGTTTAGGTTCTAGAACGGTCTCTTTCCTGGCAGAACCACTGAACAGGCAAGTCGATTTCATTTTTTGTAATTTTTTTCTTCAGATTTCTAGATTTTCCCTTAATATTTTTCAATTTATTTTACTATCAGTGCATACTATCATATCACTTTTTATCTAATTGTGTACCTCCATTTTGTGATTGGTGGTCCCACGTTTTTCTCAGGTAAGTCAATTCAGAGTTTTGGTTAATAAATAGATACCGCTGCTCTGGTTTTCAGAATCAATTGTTAATGTGGGATTATTGGACCATTTACTCTAAGTAGAGTCGGTGAAAACCAAATTTGTGTGTCCATCCCTATCAACATTTTACTGAATCCAGGCAGAGGCCTGTATAGCTATTTATTGTTTGACTCTCTCATTTTCTTCTCGAAAAGGATAGTGCTGAGAAAAAAGGGTGTAATTTTTGAAATAGAAATCCAGATAGGTCAAGAATTCATTTAAAAAGTTTTAATTGGATTGCATGGCAACATGGCACCGCCGAGCGATGTTGTGTCCGAAAACGAGACCGATATAAATGAAAAAAAAGATGATATCAAAGTGTTTTTAAAATGTCATAAGACATCTAAGTGTTCAATAGTATTTTGTGTTAATTGTTTTCAACCCCAACATAGAAGCTGTGCAGCCAGGCATGCAGAAATACTGGATTCCACACGTATAAAATTTGCGACAAGGTAAACATTGATGAAAATACTGGTCAAATAGTGAATCCAAATGATGCAGAAATAATGCGTATTAAAATTCAATATTTAGAGAGATTAGTGAGCGAAATTACTGATAAGAATGTAGTATTGAAGGAAAACAATAGTTTACTTTTACAAAGGTTACAATTGCTTGAGACTAATAATTGTGTGTTTCGAATGGATGTGCAGGTAGATCAGGAAGTTGTCGAGTTCTTTAATAATGCCAACTTTATGGGAATTGACGAATTGGAACAATTCTCTTTTGAAGAAATTTCCCAATTCGAAGTATACAATGCTTTTAGGAGAATTAAATCCAAAGCATTCGGAATAGATAATATAACATATGACATGTTACTTTTCAGCTTAGATTATGTTGCACCGACAATTACCAACTTGTATAATTCATGTCTACTCTCTGGAGAGTTTCCTGAAGTTTGAAAAAAGTCAATTATTACTCCTCTTCCCAAAAATGCTAAAATTGGTACTCTTGATGAACTGAGACCAATAAGTAAACTACCAATCCTCTCAAAGAGGTTTGAAATTATTATGTCTGATAGAATAAATAGTTATATTGCAAACAAAAATATTCTGCCTCCAACCCAGTCGGGTTTAAGGGCTCAACATGGAACTGCGACCGCTCTCAGTAGGATATGCACTGATATTTCGTGTTCCATGGATCAATCATATGTTAATTGCCTGGTATTGTTAGATTATAGTAAAGCTTTTTATTTGGTGCCACATGATCTGCTGATAGCTAAGTTAAGATACTATGGGTTTTCTGAGGCGGCCTGTAAATGGTTCAGGGGCTACCTCAGGGAGAGACAACAGGTTGTGGAATTGGGTGGGGCGAGATCTGGCCTTGTTTCTGTCACAAAAGGCGTTCCACAGGGCAGCATACTTGGCCCACTCTTGTTTAACATTTTCACTGCTGACTTGCAGCGACATGTCAGTTTTTGCGGCATCCACTTCTACGCAGACGACACACAATTGTTGTCAGGTTTTCCTCCAGAGGTTGCCAGTTGGGCAATGGAAAGGATAAATCAGGATTTGAATAGTGTTTGAAAGTGGTCGTTGAATAATGGGTTGCTGTTAAATGTTAAAAAATGTATTTATTTAATTATAGGAACAAAAACGGCTAGGAATCACTTTTTTACTTACAACTTTACAACATTACACTTCAATAGTGTTGAAATTCCGCTTGAGGATTGTGCAAGAAACTTGGGAGTTTATTTTGATAGTAATTTAAATTTTGAATTACATTTGGAAAAAAAAATAACATCTATTATGATTAAACTTAAACAACTGTATAGTTTCAAGTATATTCTGTAAAGTGAAACCAAAGCGAAATTAATAGATTCTCTTTTGCTATCTCAAATAGACTATTGTAATGTGGTTTATTATTATTACCTGACAAATGAATATAAAACCAAAATTCAAAAAACTCAAAACTCGTGTTTGCGATTTACTTACTGTATCAACAAAAATATGACCACATAACTCCAATATATATAAATAATAAGATTTTGAAATACAACCTCCGGGTCGAGTTGCACTTTGCCTTATTTGTTCAAAAAATCTTCAAAAGTGGGCTCCCAAGGAACCTTTACAGTTACTTTGATCTCATCCGTTTGGATTTGCATGGTCTAGATTTAAGAAATATTGTTAGATTTGCTATTCCACAGCACAGAACATCTAAATTTGAAAATTGTTTCTCCTATAGAGCAATAAGCCTAGTTAACTCCCCTTTATATTTTAAATTAGCTAATGTTTCTAAGGGCGCTTTAAAATTATATTTGAAAGATATTTTATTACTTGAAATGTTGTAATAATATTGTGAACCCCTAATGTACTTTTGTTGATGAGTTTTGAAAGCTGTGTAGCGTGTATAGCTTTGCTATATATTATTTTAAGGCAACATGGAAGAACGCTTGAGCGAATGTTAGCCGCTTGTGTAATAATGTATTTTTTTTACTACTAACCTGAGAAATTGTCATTATTCAATATATTTTCCTAGGAAAAAATTGAATTTCTCTCCCTAGGTGAATAATGAAAATAATGAAAAAATACCTAGGTTAATAATGAAAATGACGTCATGACGCAAGGATATTGTCATGGTTCTATTGGTTCAATTTCATTTTCATAGGTCAATTTGAAAAAAAATACAGGTTTCTGTAGGTACATAGGAAGTTATCATAAGCTGTTGATAGAGGGCAACACTTTCAAGAGGGCGTTCAAAAAAAAATAATTGGAGCACAGATTTTAAACAAATTTTTCATTTTTTACTAGCAGTAGTAAAAAAAATTCTATATATTCCTCGGTAGAGAAAGTCATTATATACCTCACTCATTATAAACCTCGGCGCGAGCGCCTCGGTTTATAAAAGCGCTCGGTATATAAGGACCAACTTCTCTACCTAGGTATATAATATACTATTGTATTTTATTTTATTACGCAATAAATATTTTTATTATTATTATTATTATTATAAGTTCCCTTACATTCTTTTTATTTAAGTTTTGCCTGTTTGGTGCGACTGTTGGAAAAGCGGCATTCTGCTCAATTATAACGAGCATCTATCTTTAATCTTGCTGTATACTTACCTTATTATTACGACTTTATTATTTTATTATTAATTTCTTTTTGAATTATTTACCTAATTGTTTTTTTTTTTATATTAAAATATTTTTGGTTGGTGAACCTGATACTGCTTTATTCTTTTCTGGGTACAATCACTATTTGGAGTCTGGATCAGCTGGAGTGATGTCACACCAGTAATCTATCCTCCTTCTTGGATACAGGAAACAACACGAAAAGCTCCAATTCACGAAAGTGAAACCCCAACATCCATTGAAGAACTCCGGATTGGAAAGCTACATATTGTATCAGATTGACCAGAACAACCAAACTGTCAAATTTTAAAGAGAAGTAACATTGTTACTAACATTGTGAACAAATATTTAACACGTTAGCTGCCGTGCAGTTTTCCATAGATTTGCCTGCCAGGCCACAAAAAAAAAATGAAAAATGTTACCAGGAACCAATGGTGCCTTAAT